TTTCCTCACGATGGTGACGGTGTCTCCTGGGAGAGGACACACGCACAGGAACCATAAATTCAGTTCCCAGGTGTAGCGTGGATGCCATGCCTGCTTCTCCCCATTCCTCAAGCAGGGCAATGATACTCAGCTGCTTTAGTTAAGCGCTTGGACATCTATTAATGCTCTGCTTAACGCGCTGGGCAGCAGAATGCAAAACCAGTCTAAAGACACGTCCGCGCAACCCCACCGCGGGTGCAACTCATGGAGGTTCAGCCGGGGAGGCAGACACCAGCGGCCCCGGTGTAGCAGCTCCCCAGTGTAGCAGTGTGGTTCCAGCGGATGCTGCTGGTTTGCAGCCTGCTGGGGACATCCAGGGGATGCACAGCACCGGTCCAGATCCGTCTCGGGAGGCAGATGTATGACGTGTTTGAGCGAAGGGGCATGTCTTTGACACAGGCGAGACACGGGTCATGCAGCGCGAGGTGTGCAGCTCCGAAGCCTCATCCTTGGGCTGGGCTGGTACACTGGCAGCTGGCAAAAGCCCTCGTGCACACGTACGCAGCCAGGGTGGTACACACACACGTTTATCCATGCTTGCAGACATCAGGGGAGGTTAAAGGAAAGAGGCCAGGGCACCTTTTCTTCCTTCTTCCTGCTCCACTTTTCCACAGAGGGTGTAACAGTCCTCCCCAGAGCTCTGGAGCACAGGAATGAAACGCCGAGCTGCGAGAGAAAGCACGAACAGCCACGTTTGGTGCATGCGCTGCGTTTGGATCCCGGTGCTCACGCACACGCGGAGAATCTCGATGCACCTTTTCGGGTGATGGTTTGCAGGGCACCCACATGGGTGTCAGTGTGCCCGAGCAGCCCCTCCGGCACGGTGACTGCCGGGAAGCTCCCCACCAGCGGTGCAGCCCACCCCGGCAGCCCGCCCAGAGGCCAACGGCTCTCAGCAAACCCCTCACCTTGTTAAGCTGATTTAGGCAAGTTAAATCCTTTAAGGATTAAAAATGTGAGCACTGCTGTTGGTAAAAGTTATTGTGGGGCAGCTTCTCTGGAGATGGGATAGGTCCATCTGCACAGGATGGCGGGTCGGTCCCGAGCAGAGACAACGCTGCCATCGAGTTTCAGGAGGAGAAAAGCCACTAAAGTAACCAAAGTCAGCCCTTTCCTGAGACTGAGAAAATGTTTTGTATCCAAGGAGTGCCAGTAAGATCCTCGCGGGTGTGCTCACCAGCGCAGCCCCCACGATTGCCAGGCGCCACGCTGACTTTATCCGCGGGGGTCTCAGGAAACTTTGCCACCGGCTTTATGTTGGCTGCACTCTCAAGCCCTTCCTCAGCAAAGTGCTTCTGATCTGGGTTTCACAGAAAGGACGCAGAGGTTACACAGAGTAAAATCCAACCTCTGGTAATTTCAAACCGTGCAAAATAAAAATCGACTTTTCTGTGCCCAGAGTAAGCACTGCGTGGAAATGACGGTTGGCCTTGAAATCTGTGGCATGGAGAAGCTGGCCTGTCCTTCCTGCTGCCTTCACCACTGAATGCAAGTGCAGGGGTTACAGGCAGGCAGTCTCTGACCAAATGCTTTTCTGATGTGTTTGGTTACAACGTGATAGCCCTTTGCTACCGAGAAAAGGGTTACGTCACTTTGCACAATTTGGAACTTATTCGTGAACAAGAATAAACAATAGAAAAAGAGCTTCTCTCCCCTGGTACCAAAACCAGACCAACAGATGAATTAATCCCTGGTGTTTCAACTCTACTGGTGAATTCAAGTAAAAAAGCAAAAGTTGCCCTTTTCAAATGAAATTTCAGTGGAACAATACATTGGCCAGAAGACCAAAGGGAGTAAATCGGCAGAAAATGGACCTGTGCCACAGATTACACAGGGGCATTTTGGGGACGCAAAACCAGAGGCTTTTCAACACCAGCTGGGTTCAATCACAGTTCCGTGACACAAGGCTGGGTCGGCCTGTGCTGCTCCCCAGGTCGTGCCTGGCTGTGCGGGACCGCGCTCGGTTCATCACCAACTTACTGGCACCTGTGCAAAGCTCACTCAGCTGTAATGCCGGCCAGGCACACATCTGCTCAGCCAGTCCCTAGCAACGTGGCTGGGGTGCAGGCTGAGCACAGGAACCACCTCCACTTTTCTCCCAGATACTGCTCTGCTCGTAAGCTGGCCGTGGCACGGGCAGGAGTGCTTGCAGCTATGTGGATGGTGAGGATTTGGGGCTGGCTGCTCAGCCTTTGCTTCTTGGTGCTCCAGAAACACATGGGAATTTTGGGGGGAGCGGTGAAGATCAACATGGAGTGTCCTCTGTAGGATGTCCCTGCTGCCTCTTCACATCTGCCTCTGAGCTCATGGAGCCAGCAGCATTAGGTGAAATTTCTCTGCAACCTGATGAATCTGAGACTGACCTTTTCTTCCACTTGTTTATGAAAAAGAATAAAGAAACCTATTTAAATTCACCAGGCTACCCTTAGCCTCCCAGTACTCTAAGGTCACTCCCTTCCCTGGCAAGTAATTGTCTTTTAAATATGTAAATGCCAGCATATTTCTCCCTCTTCACTTACCTCCTCCTCAATTTTCCTGAAATGCCACCATATATTTTTAATTACCCACTCTTCAGCCCTGTCACGCAGGTCTTCGGGACCTTTGTGCCCTCTTATTTCTCTGTGTCCCCTAACTTTCCAGCCAGCCCTCCAAAGCCGCTGGTCTCAGGCCTCCTCTCTGCTCCCTCTTGCCTTTGCGCCTCCTTCCTCCTCACGCCCTTTCCCAAGGTGAGCAACATGGCTGGATCTTCTACCTAACTGTGCCCGCAGCTGGCTTCATAGAGTCACAGAATGGTTTGGGTTGGAAGGGACCTTCCAGACCATCCAGTTCCAACCCCCCTGCCATGGGCAGGGACACCTTCCACTAGACCAGGTTGCTCAAAGCCTCATCCAGCCTGGCCTTGAGCACTTCCAGGGATGGGGCATCCACAGCTTCTCTACTGACTGGTCATTGCTAAGCTCTTGTTCAGACCTCGTACCTCAATAACATCATCTTCCTGCTGAAAAACACCCACTGGTCAGAAATCAATGTCACAGACTCTTCTGCCCTGCTGGGTTGAAAAATTATGAGGGCTGGGAGGAAGAGTGGCACACACATGGCCACAGACACGACACAGAACAGAAGGACCACGATCACATACACCTCATTTTTGTGAGTGGGAAAATGGGGTAAAAATAAATCTCCCTGCTAAAATTACTATCCCAAACTTCATGTTTAGGTTTCCTCTCTTTACAGTAGAAGGTGAGGAGATTGGAGAACATCAGTTATTATCAGCACAAAACATCTCATACATAAAAGTTACAAAACCAGCAGCAGCAGATGGCCTTGGAGTTAGATGTTGATTCAGAGATCCTTGTACCTCAGGGAATGCGTTAGTCACTACAACAAACAGGAAGGTATCCCCTGGGGTCTCTTTTTCTGCTTTTGTCTTTGATTCTAGGCTTGCTAGAATAACTCTGATACGGGACAATAAACCTTGGTCTCCTAGCAAATACCCATATTCTTTTTTCTCTAAGAATGGAATGGAGAGATAAAAACTCTGGCTGTCAAAATAAGATGCAAAGCACAATGTCAAAGAAAAAAAAGGAGGGTGAGGAAGTGAAAAAAAAAAGACGCAGCCTTGTTCTTATTGACTTCAGCTGGTGCTAGATCGCACTCAGTGGTTAGAAATCATTGCCTCATTGCCAATTAAGAAGTGATTAAAAAGGGTGCCCGCTCATTCTACTCCTTTTATTGGCAGTGTAGGGAGGTATGGTTCAGAGTAGAAGCCTTATGGGTGTGCCAAATCACCCCCTATAGCTGCCTGTCTGCCTGTATTTGCGAGAGGGGAGCCTAAACGGGCTTTCCTAGGCTAAAGTTAGTTGTTGTGATTGTTCCACCATCGCTGCGTTGGCTTTCCTCCAGAGCTTGTCTCTGTGTTGGTGTGTTATCCTGCTGTGGAAATGGTGCAATGCAGAGGGAAATCGGGCCCTGAGGTTAAAGTCTGCTTAGGACTGGAAGCAATCTCCTGGAAGCCATAGGTAAGACTCTGCACCCTATAAATAAGTAGTATATTCTGGTAAGTGGAGAAGGCCATTTATTCCATTAAATAAATCTATCCTAAGTGAATCCTTGTTGGAGGAACTGCATGTAGGTGGAACTGCCTAATGTGAATCATGTAACAGATTTCTGATGAAGTGCTCTGTCAATTATGAGAGCCATCTATTTTGATTTGGATGGCTCAGTGTTCAGGCTGCTCTTCCACATCCTTATGTTCTCCATGTGGTATTGCTATCATCAGTTATTTACAGGATGGCACAAATGCAAGTAGTGTTTTATAGTGATGAGGTGCATAATCTACTTTGGCATTATCAAGCTGTGGTATCTCCACTGAGAGCAGTGAATTTGTCTGGCTCGTTAGTCTTTGCCCCATGCAGCTCTGGGAACTGAATCCAAGGTCACCCCTTGACAACCTCTTTCAGGTCTGACACTTATTCCTTTTCAGCAGTCTTGGCACTAGGTGTTCTAGCCCTTCACCCCGGGCTCCGTCTGCAGTCACTGAAGACAAATAGGTGTCTGCAGAGTTACCTATTGAGCTTTGCTAACGGCGAAGGAAACCAGATCATACCTAAGACTAAATGCATGAGTTTTGTACCTCTGAGGTTAGGTGAGACGAACTCCATTCCGGGTCAAAATGTAGTAACAGAGACCAGCAGAACTTGGTGTTTCTCCTTGCTGACCAGTGATTCTTGTGGGCAGAATGTCTAAGAGCAGCGCTTGCCTCCTGCCTTGCTGCTGGCAACCTGAGGAGAAAGCACTGTCACTGTCGTGGCTTAAAGAAATATTGGGAGGGAGGGTCATACACAGGAAGATGGAGTTTGCCCTGCCTTAAGAAGTAAGCAGTTCTGATGACTTTCAATTGTTAACACTGACTTTCCTTTTCTTCCTCTTCTTAGGGTGAAGTCTTGGGCAGATGCCTTTGGTGGGGAGTTGTACTCCATCGTGACTAAGTATTCAGGCTCTCTCCTGTTGCAGAAGGTAGGCTAAAGCTGTGAGCGCTCCCTTGGCTTCCCCTATCTCCCTGTGTAGCCCTCTGAGGTTTCCCCCGAGGTGGGAGAAAGCCAAACAGACAGTTCTCCAGCTAACTTTCAAAACCACGCAGGTCCGTATCCATAAGCACAGGGGGACGCCCTGTGGCCACTCCCTGTGAGCTGCACCCATCTAATGCCTTTTCTGCTTTCATTAGCCGTGGCCAAACACTCCCTGAATTGTCTCATTTTTAAAAAATACTTTTTAGCAGTACTTGTGTTTCCGCTTGCTCCTCACTTTCCTAAGGGCATATCATATCAGTCCCTCTGGACCTGCCTGCTGTCACCCCATGGTCTCCTCCCGCAGCTCTCCAGCTGGCACTCTTGTTTATTCCTGCTTCCTTGCTTCTCTTCCTCCAGTCATTCATCAATTCTTGAATTTAAAACCCTGCTTTGGCCCTGGAAGCCGTGATCTTCCAGAGGTGCAGAGCTCTGCCTTCTCTCCTGCCTGGCTGTGTCACTGCACAACAGGCACTGCTGCGTTAAATGCTCTACCAGTGTTAAAGGGTGTACTAGCTCCAAGGGCCTCAGGTAAATTCCTCTTCTGCTTCCTCCTCTTTATGTTCTTTGAGTCTTCTCTTCAGTGCAAGCCATGCATTGCCTTAGTCCTTCTAAATGTCTGATTTCTGTCCTCTCATTACTAATAACATCCACCACCCAGTCCAGAAGAGGATGTGGGTAATATTTGCCTTGCTCCTGAGGCCTCCCTGTCCCCACAGTGCTGCTTTCTGCCTGGAGAAAGGGAGAGGCTCCTGCAGCATTGCCTTTACAGAATCACGGAATGCTTTGGGTTGGAAGGGACCTTAAAGATCATCTAGTTCCAACCCCCCTTTCCTAGGCTTGGCCAAGAAAGACCATCAGCATCCAGCACAAAGGTCTGCACTGACCATCAGCTCTTCTTAGGAGGCGTGTGCCACCTTGCAATAAAGATACTGCCATGGATACTTCATGCCCTAATCATGAGGTGGCTGTGGTGTGACACCACTACAGGCAAGTTTTGGCTTTTAGCAGTGCTGGTGATGCTTCTGCATTGTCTGTTCTTCCATGGGGTCCCCAGGAGATAATTGCCAGAGGCAAAATGACGTGCTGAGGTGTCTCTGGTGGGTACCTGAGCTTCAGGGGGTGGGAGGTGCAGATTGGGATTATCTGTTAGTCGGGTATCGGTGTCTGATGCTCTGTGGGTGTGCTTCAACACAGCCAACTTACACTGCTTCTGTGGCTGCTTCTGCTAACAAATTACACGGGTTCACATTTCTCAAGGTCCAAAAATTAGTGGCACTAAGGAGAACAGCGCTTAGCTTGGTGCGGCAACAGTTAACAACGAGGCCAAGGATGGCAGACGTGGCACGGAGGTGTGTGTCAAGATAGTTGTGCTGTGTTGGCCCTCTGGAGATGCTGCACCGGGTCATTTCACATCCCTCTGCCCACAGCATGTTTTGACTTCTGGGACAGGGTTTAGAAGACTCGTGGATGCTACTATAGTACCACTAAAAATGACAGTCATGGCAACCAGATCTTGAACGAAATTTCATAACTCCCTCAGCTTTCAGTGTAATTCCCTAGAAGTAAAGAAAACTACTTTCTGATGAAAAAGAAGCCTGAATGTAGCCAAATCCAAACTAGCATTTGTGTCAAGGACTCTGAGGGAATGTCCTTCAGTGAGTCACTGTCTTTGCTACCAGCAGAGGCTAAATGCGTGTCCTACCCGAACTTAAGCAGTTTAAACATCTCGGGTTTACTTTTCACCCTTGAAGTCCCACTCCTTTATCTCTTTCATTTTCCCATATTTCCCTTTCATTTTCTCTTGTATAAATAAGGGGCGTCCCCTTATTTCCACTGGGATCAGGGAAATAGGGGAGGAGCAGCCAGCACCCACTTTTTCGGTCTTCTCATTCAGCTTCCATTTCTTTAGCACCTTCTCACAAATCAGCGTCTCGGAGCAGGAACATCCCTGCAGGTCTCCCTCTGCATCCCTGACGCAGTTCTGCAGAAGGACAGCTTCAGGAGGGTGCAGACACATCTTTTACTGACAGGCAACCTTTTCGTGCCCCACGAGATGCACCTTGGATGCAGACTGTGGATGGCTTTATGTAGATCACCACACTGGTCCGAATGGATGGAGGGCAAGTCAGGCCTGGGGAGCGGAATGTGCCAAGTGTGGAAACACAAACAGATGTGCTCCTTGGGCACCTTTCTCTTTTGGGGCCACTGCCCCTTTTCCACACAAACTACCCCTATATGTGCACTGCAGACCAGCAGAAGTGGGGGGGGAAGTGCAGTGTAGACACCCAGGCGATAATTTCTGGGGGCTTAAGTTGGGGGGCAGGAAATACAGACTGAGAAGGTACCTTTCAAATCTGACTTCACGTCTCCCTTGTGCCTAATGGGCTCAAAGTAATTAGCTGACTGTTGCTTTGAGAGCTGTAATTTTTCAGTTACCGAATGTTTTTCATGTAAACCTTCTCTTTAATATTTAACAAAAGGTTCCTTTTGTAGCTTTGAGTCTGTTTGTATTTCTCTGGTGTTCTTTTCTTTTCCCAGAAGAACCCTAATATGTTGCAAACCTAAGCACTCAATTTATTGCTACCTTTATTGCTCCCAGAGACCTGGTGAACCAGTAGACATCTCTTGAATCCAGAAGGGCAGGTTCTCACCCTGGATCAGAGAGCTTTGAGAGACCCCCTAGGTCATTCTCTGTCCCAAGCAGACAAGATATCATCCAGTTAAACCTCAGAGGGGTAGCAAAAGCTGAAGAGAGGTTTTGGTTTCGCTGAAGCATTCATTGTATTCTCCTGACCATGATGCAGCAAAGGTTAAGATGAGCTTGTGCACTTGTCTGGCGCATCAGCCTGGCTCAGAGGTGATGGATCTGTACTGGAATGCCGGCGGTGGTCTAGGACAGCTGGAGGCAATGCAGCTGGAGCAAAGAGGCAATGTGAGAGGCTGAGCAGGGGGAGGGCAGTAGCATCTCCCAGAACTAAGGAACAGAAAGCTTCAACCTGTGGCTTTAAGGTCTGTTTGCCACGGTCCTGCTGCTGCAGTTGACCAGGCAGTGACCAAAGGCCTGGGGGTATGCCAGGAGCCATGCCAGGAGGGTTCCATGGTGGTTCTGGGCTTCTCAGGGTTTGCCTCCAAGTGACAGAAACACCACCAGCTTCAGCAAGACCCCAACTTTAACTTTCCTTCCACTATGTTAATGAGGCATTGTGAGTGTTCCTGAGAATTATCTCCTGCTTCCTCCTGTAGCTGAGGTGCTGCCTGCCTTCCTCGGGGGAATAGGGCTGCAAAAGGACAGCAGGGCTTGGCTCCAGCTATGCAATTACTAGAAAGCGCTACAGAGAACTGCATGGCGAAGAACAGGCAAATTAAAGTTCAGTCAAGACATTTTCCTGGGTGAAGATGAAAGGACTGTCTTTCACACTCTTTATATAGTTTCACTAGCAGTGAGTAATGCAACACGGTGTACTTCAATGGGCTAAATTTCATGGAGGTGGGAATGGGAAAATATATTTGGTGACATATCTCGGTTCACAGATAAAACTTGGGATACTGAATCCTGGATCTTCCACTTTTAAATCACCACCCCCAACACTGCAGAAGGAGAATCTTAATGAATTGCTCCTGCTATTTTAAGGGAATATGAAGTACTACATGAATACGAGAAGATTATCAGTTAGATCAGAGTTAACTTTCTGGACCCTTTGCAATATTAGATCCTTTCAGCCAGTTCTCCCAAGCCTGTAGCTGATTCCTGTTCTGTAAATGATAATGATTGGATAACCTGAACCTTAAACTTGGGTTGTGCAGGTTAATCTTGGTCTGCCACAAGCACCTGTGTTGACATTTGCTGCCTACTTTCAGCCATGGTGTCTGGTAACAGTACGGAAAATGCAGGTACTACTCCGTTGCCCACCTTTGGAAACTCTTGCAGTGAATATTCATTAATAGCAGGAGACTTTAGTGGCAGCAGTACAGATACAAAATAGTTTGCTGGATTGTTTGTAGGAAAAAGTCTCAAAGGGGATCTGAGCTCAATCCTGGTGAATTCCTTGAAGCCAACTGAAACTTTGCAGATAGCTCTTTGGTGGTTTATTTTTTTTTCCTGTCTTCCCAGCTCTGGCTAGTTCCCAGGGCTGAGTTGTGTACATGGGTATTAGCAGACCGCTTGTGGCTGCTCGTGATTACTTTTACCCTAATAACATCTACTGGTCAATGTGTCAAGCACATTAAAATAATAATAGAGATGTATAGAGCCCAGTTCCATTTAACTCAAGGTATGACCCAAGGTAACCGATGGCAGGTCACTTTGTAAGGCGTGTTTGCCCATGCTGGTGTGTTTTCCCCCCACCCCCCCCCTTTGCTAGCTTTCCCAGGAGAGATTACCTTCCTCCCCCCGAGGAGGGCCTGATTAAAGCCTAGCCTGGCAGGGATCACTTCCCTCCTGATGAAACCGTGACATGGAGCTAAATGGGACAGGCACCAGCTGGGATGTCGGCAGCCAGGGACCTCTGTTGGGGG